AATAATTCGCTAACCCAAGGAAAGACCTAAGCTCCGGTACAGACGTAGGAGATGGGGCACCTTTGATTGCCCTCACGTTATCTTCCAACGAGTGTAACACTTGGGGTGCCTGGAAGATACATTTTTCCCTTCTAAGGTGTACGCTTGACTGGGAGAAACGTTTAAGGACTATGTCCAAGTTCTCGAAGTGCTCCTTATTGGTCTTCTCTGTTATTAGCCTGTCATTAACATTAACAACATTTAAAAGGCATTTGGACGAATACATGGATAGGAAAGGTTTAGACGGATCTGGGCCAAGTGCAGGGAAATGGGGTGGGCGTGGATAGACATTTTGGTTGGCATGGACCAATTTGGGCTGAAGAGCCTGTCTCTGTGCTGTAGGACTCTATGATTCAATGACTCTAACTGGATAACTGGTGACCTGGACAGACCTTGTAAAATGTTCTCAATCATCTGCTGAAAAATTGCACAGGCTGACGATACTGCACATGGCAGTCTCGTATATTGGTACAACCCCTTAAGGATATTAATTGTAGCATATTTCTGGGAATCGTTATCTAATTACAATTGCAAGTATTCATGGCTCATGTCCAGCTTTGTGAAGGACAGCAAAGAGGATTGGTTTGATGATTCCTTCACTTTCCAGCCTCCTGATGTTTGCATCAATTTTTGTTCGTAAGGCAAATGGCACTGGGTGGGCCTTGCAGAATCAACACGCAAGGTGGCCTTGGCTGCTTTGATATTTTCTAGACCTTCCTGAAAACGTCCAGGTATTAAAATAGGACTTCACTCAGGCAGCCATTTTCTAACTGAAAAATGTTAATGTAATCTAGGTGAATCTTTCTCAACCAATTTTGCCCCATCAAGCTTGGGCCCGAGCATTTTACTACAATCAGTGGTAACTGAACTAGTTGCTTCTCATAAGAGACCGGAACTGAAGTTGTAACCTTAATCTGTAAAGGCTCCCCAGTATAGGATCTCAGTCTAGCCGAGGTCTTGCGCAAACTTAAGGGTTGGAGTCCAGAGCGAATTTTGTTAAAGACTGGTTTTGTGACCACTGAAACAGCTGCATCAGAATGGACCTCCATTAGAACCAGGTGACCCTTTAACCAGATATTTATTTTGATGGCTATGATTTGGATGTTGCTAAGCAATTTAACTGTTCCAAACCAGATGTAGGTGAACTTTCCAGGATGTGCAGTCTCCTGGATACCAGCCTATGAATTCTCTTATTCAGTTTAGGTCTAGTGGGATGCTTTTGCTGCCTCAAGTCTGCATACTGGCAGCAACTACAATGGCTTTCTGGCCCGGATCGTGAAGAAAATGTTAACTGTTTGGCTGAGGCTTGGCTTTGTTTTGAGGTTTTGCTGCGGGCTGACCTAGAGTCCCTCTGTCTGTTCATGTCCTGAGTGAGGCTGTGCAATTGCCTTCACTCAAGTAGTGATCCCCAAGCTCAGTTGGCCTGGTGAAGGTGTCCACTTCCATCGGCATAACCTGCAACTCATGTGCTCCACTTGCCATATTTTCCAGTGATAAAGCCAGTTGTCGTGCCTGTTTGAAGTCCAGTTGAGCTTCAGCTAGTAGGCGCTTTTGCATGGTTACATCATTAATCCCATATACCAAATGGTCTCTCAGCATCTCATTAAGGGTTAAATCAAAGTCACATGTCTCTGCCAATCATCTTAACCGAGTCAAAAATCCCAATACGGATTTTCCTAGTTCTCGAATCGCCAAGTAAATCCTATAGCATCTCACAAATAGAGGAAGCTTAGGTTCATAATATTCCTTCACTAAATCTAACAACTCTTGAAAGGTTTTAGTATCTGGTGCCTCAGGGAAAGTTAGGATCCTAATATTCAAAAAAAAAATGCAAGTCCACAAGCTGTAAGGAGAATTACTCATTGCTTTTCATTTGCCCCAATGTCATTTGCCCAGAAAAAATATTGCATTATTTCCACATACTGAGCCCAGTCTTTTGACAGCAGAATCGAATTTGTCAAGCTTCCCAAATAATAGCACAATGCCAGAAATACTTACCATAACTCAGAGACAACTGTTGCAAGCGAATTTCTTCAGGAGCGTGCTTTTCTCTAGTCGCCATGGAAATAACTCTACAGAGGCCGGTATCCCGCCATGTCATCCTTTATTTACGCATGGAGAGTCCTTGACACTGATGCAGCTCCCTCAGAGCCAGCTTTCAGAGTGAACAGGATGTCTAACACTCCTGTTCTTATCTGTCAGCCAGGGCTTCCTGCTTAGACCAGATTAACAGCTCCAATTAGGGAACCCATATTCAATGAGGCCCATTTAGCTGACCTTGTTACAAATCATTACACACGTATTCTGACTCCCCTGACTTTAAATGGCCATAAGAGGTTTTTCTTTGTCTCATGCTTCCTGGTTGGCCTCAAAAAATGCGGGTGAGCAAATGTGTTGGAGGTTGGATAGTGGATCATTCATAAGAATTTCTGCTTTGTTGAGCACTAAGTGTTAATTGTTGCCACATTTTATTTTAGGGAAGCAAAGATTACTTTTTGACTAGTGGGGACAAAGTTCGATTCTTTTTTGAAGAAGGAGTGTTTGATAGCAAAGGTAAAGCCTAATGCCACTTGTATTTCACGTTAATTCATAAGAGAAAAATTGCATGTATTTGGTTTTCACATTGAAACAAATCACATAATAATAAACTGCAGTGACTACTATAATATTCCCAGGTGTATTGGCCATCAGTAACATCCTGGAAATAGTCGTGAAACGTGTGGCTGGTTCATCCATCTTTAAGTGCTATCAGCTAAGAGTAAGACATTAACCAAGTGCAACAATGTTTAAATCCTGAGATTCTTTTATCTGTGGACATCAAGATTATCTGCAGGGGAGAGCTCTCTGTGTTCTGGTCAATATTTATCCATTCATCACCACCACCACTAAACTAGATGATATGATTATTTTTCTCTGTTGTGTCATGTGAAAAGCACCTGCCACAACGTTAAGAGGAGAGAGAGCTGTTCAAGTCATGAATGGCTTTATTAGGGTAAATAAAGAGAGATCCTTTCCATTGGTCAAAGGATTGGTGCTGAGGACACAATCTTAAGCTGCATAGCAAAAGTCCTGGATGCAGCATGAGGAAGCTTATCACTTACACACGCAAACTACTATCATCTGGATTGCTCTGCCTGAAAGGATGCTAGAAGAAGATTCAACAATAACAGTCAGAAAAAAGTTAGTTAAGTATTTGAAAGGGAGAAAAATAAATTACATGGCTATGGGCAAATATTTGGAGAATGGGACCAACTAGATAAGGGGTTGAATGACCTCCTGTGCTATAACATTCTATGATTCTATGGTTTGCTCACAACTGAGACTACACTGTCTGTTTAGTGGTTCAGAACATCGAAGAATTTGAAAGGTGCTATCTAAATGCAAGTTCATGCCTCTAATAATTTATAATGTATCTCAGTATTATAGGGTGAAACTATGTGAAAAGATGTGGTTTTTTTCCCATTTTTATTTCTGCAGATGACTAGTTGGCAGATTTCCACCTTACCTTAACCTGCCATTCTGTAACCAGTGCCTCGATAGCAATGAGGACTGGGAGCTATGGCTCTTTCCCACTCTCCATGGCCTCTACTTGGTAACACTCTGAGATGTCAGGGCTGTGGTTAGGAATACAGTAAACTGTAACTGTCAACTCTTGTCAGTGTACTCTGGTGTATATTGCATCGGACCTCCAATGTGCCAGCATACACATCTGTTCTTTATGTCTCTGGCTTCAGGGAAAGAAAGGAAACTTTTTACACTGATTCCTTTCAGAATATCATTCGAACAACACTGCTGTCCTCCTGTACCGTATGTACAAAGTGATTTTTCATGCCTCTGCTTTGACAGTAAATAATGCCCTGGGGTATAATGGCAAGGATTTAATATGGCTATTTGTCATCTTTTGATTCATCTGTTCACAGTATAATGTCAAATAGGAGTGATCACTTTAAATGGAGACTTAGCACATTTTTTTTCATTCTCTGCCTCCTTAATATGTGGAATGAAGTTATTTGTTAGCCTAGGCTAACAGCACAGGTATCGCCCAAACTTGGGATCTTGTGCATGTCCCAGCAGGAAGAGTCTTTACCAACTGAGAAACTGGCAAGTCAAAAATCCTTCCATAGAAAGATGTTCTTACTCAGCCAGTGGTCACAAATCTACTAATTTTCATTTTTCTCTTCATTTAGGTGACTTTCTTGTACCAAAGGAGAAGTCTTTGAATAAAATTGGCCATGGTAAGGTCACTGCTTTATATTTTTGGGTAATGTAGAGAATAATTCCTTTCTTTTCATTTTGAGTGAAGTGTGCAAGAACATCCTGCTGAGGGGAATAGCAGCATTCACTGAAAGATTTAGTGAAGTTATTAGATTGCAAAGATCCAGCAAAACACTCATAAACCAGATTGAGGTGCTCAGTGAATTGCAAAGCTTTCCTGTCTGCTCAGTCAGGCTGGTTTTTAACTTGCTCACTGGGCTTTCTATTTATCTTTCAGCAATTGTTAGGGAATGGTTGATTGTTTTGCCACTTTTTAACCCAGGCAAACTGAGACCAATTTAAGTAACCATACTGCAGCAAACTTGAAATCAAATGCATTGAGTAGTTTTGTTATTGTAGGAACACACGTTCTTTATTTTGAACGTATGTCTTTCAAACCAGTTAGAAAGATCAGTTAGGAAGCATTTAAATATTTTCCCAAGTAGCAGACTCCTTTACAGTTTTATAATTCTGGCAAGATTCTCTGCTTTCTAGGAAATTTTTACAAATTGGCTTCATATAAAACCTTATGTCAGCTGGGTCTTTGTCCTCTAATGAAATCTAATTGATGGCACAATAGAGTTTAGACTATATTCTAAATTGAATGCTAATGATCCCTAATTCCCATGTTTCACCTTAAGCAAGAGGGCTCACCCAGACACTCACCAATAATGTGATTCTTCTCCACAGCTCTTCATGCCTTGGAGCCTGTATTCAAAAATCTCACCCATTCACTGAAAGTGCAGGTGGGTCTTTCTTGAGTCTACCATCAATGTAGTGTCTTACAGTGGCTGGCAAGCAGAACTTGTGTATCAGTGAAGCTTGATATAGACTATTGTCAAGTCACCTAAATGCTTTCTGTTATTTTTTGTGAGCTAGAAACCAGGTAGAAATAAACACAATGTTTGTTGAATCCAATTTTAGGAACATTTTCCCATCCCCAACCCAATGAATTGTTCTGTTTCAGGTTTAGAAACCTAGGAACCCAAGAAGGCCATTTGACCCTCGAACCTGTTCCGCCATTCAATAAGATCATGGCTGATCATTGAGCTCAAAACCCTAATCCCATCTTCCCCCCATATCCAATGATCCTTCTAGCCACAAGAGCTATATCTACTGCCTTCTTGAAAACGCCTAATGTTTTGGCCACAATCATGTTCTGTGGTAGTGAATTCCATAGGCTCACCACTCACTGGGTGAAGAAATTTCTCCTCATCTCATTCCTAAAAGGTTTACCCCTTATCCTTAAACTATGATCCCTTTAACTAAGACAACCCTGCCATCAGGATCATTCTTCCTGTATCTAACATGTCTAGTCCTGTTGGAACTTTTTGTTTTCTCTGAGATCCCCTCTCATTCTTCTAAACTCCAGTGAATACAATCTTAACTAACTTAATCTCTCTCATAGGTTCTGTCATCCCATGAATCAACTTGGTTAACCTTTGCAGCACTCCCTCAAGAGCAAGAACATCCTTCCTCAGATAAGGAGACCAAAATTACACACGATATTCCAGGTGTGGCCTCACCATGCCTTGTATAATCGCAGAAAGACATCCTTGATCCTGTACTCGAATCCTCTTGTTATGAAGGCCAACATACAGTTTGTGTCCTTGACTGTGTTTTAAGTGTGCAACCCCGTATTCTGCAATTATGCGCTCTAGTCCTAAACTCTCCCAGAAGTGGAAACAAACTTTCTGCTCCTACCTTTTTGAGTCCCCTAAGAATCTTGAATGTAGATTGCCTTTGTTCCTCTGTATCCCAGTGGGTACAGGTGCAATCAACTCAACCTCTTCTCATAAGACAGCCCCTCTATACCCTGTATTAGCTGAGTGGATCTTCACTGGGCTGCCTCCAATGCCAGTATATCTTTCCTTAGATAATGGGCCTAAAATTGCCTACAGTATTCCAGCTGAAGCTTTAGTAGTTCCTTGTAAAGCTTTAACAAGACTTCAGTATTTTTATACTCTATTCCCTTTGAAATAAAGACCAGCATTCCACTCACCCTCCCTATTACCTGCTAAACTTGGATGCTGGTTTTTGTGATTCATCCATTACATTTAAATAATGCAACAGTTTTTGCCTCCTGTACATACTTGTGCTTCAACCTGTGAATTGGTCATTACATCAAAGATTCCTGACTTTGCCAGTTTGAACATGAACCCTTTGGCCTATTGCCAATTTAACTTAATTATCCAGATTTACTTTTTCTATGCCATTTACTATTTGTCTGTCTGTGCAAGAAGGAATTTAAGATTTTCCAAGCCTTTAATCAGTTTTCTGCTCCTGGAGATCAGTCTCAAGTCTTGAAAGTCTTCTTTGTGCCTCAGTTGTATTCCTTTTAACCTCACTTGCTCCTCCATAGGGGAGAAAGGACAAACTAACAAAGACTCCCTGTTGTTCTCACCTGTGAACTCCCTTTTGTGACTCACTCACAGGATGCAGGATCACTGGCTATGCCAGCATTTATTGCTGAGAGGTCAGTTCTGAGTCAGTCACATCACTGTGCATCATCTGTGAAGGTTATTGTGTGAAGACCAGACCAGAAAGGAATGGCAGATTTCCCGTAAAGGGGTCATGAACCAGATGGGTTTTATTCCACCATCTGTCATGGCAGCATTTGAGCCTGGATCCCCAGAACATAACCTGGGTCTTTGGATGAATAGTGAAGCAATAATACCACCAGGCCAAGACCTCCCCAGTTTATTTGAATGTAGATTTAACATACATTTGAGAACAGGTAGCTTGGCTGCCCTCATTGCTCAGGGAATCATTTGGATCTGACAGAATTAAAGAAGGACTAGAACATGTGCATCCATTGAAATGAATCTGTGTCTCTGTGTGACAGGAGATAGCCCAGAAGTTGGATCTAAAGGAGCCGGTCATTGTGCAAAGCATGTATATCTTCAAGGTATGTGAGGACGTTATTTCCCTGCACCAACTATTGGTGAAATGGTACAGTTGGAAGCTGAAATTTTAGACTTTTTGAAAACCACAATAAATCAAGCAGAGTCAACATGGTTTATGAAAGGGAAATTTTGTTTACAAGTTTTATTGGAGTTGTTCGAGGGCAAATTGAGCAGGGTCGATGAAGGAGAATCAACATATATCATGTGCTTGGATTTCAAAAGATGACATTCAAGCATAGGAACAAGGAACAAGAATAGGCCACTCAGCCCTTTGAGCCTGATCCATAATTTAATGAGGTCATGGCCGATCTGATTTTAACCTCAATTCTACATTTCTGATCTATTGTTCCCTGGCTTTTCCTTACCACCTTTCATAAATAGTGGCACCACATTAGCCAACCTCCGGTCTTCCAGCACTGCACCTGTGGCTATCAATGACACAAATATCTCAGCAAACGTCTCATCCTGAGACAAAAAAAATCAATATAATCCCATTTTGAACTTAATACAGCAGGAACAGCAGCAGTTGCTGACTGTGCACATGAAGACCGACTGTCCAGTGCTTAACTATTGTATCGGCTGCTAGACAGAAGCAAAAACATAAGTAGATTGGCATTTTAGTGCTCCCTCATTCTCTCATCAGTGGCTTATTTGATTACTATGGGTCTAATACACAAGTCAATACAAGAGGTCTGAAATTTGATTCTCAGTCACGGTGAGCTGATCTCTGCACGTGGTGGCCATAGGAGAGTTGCAAATGGCTTCAGTTGCCCTGATGCTTCAGCACAATAGGAAATTTGAGACATGGAGACAATAAGCCACAGCTTTGACTCTTGTAATTCTTGCAGCTGAAATGTTATAATTGGTACTAGAGCCAGGCTTCCACCAAGTCCTTGTGGAATGCTATGTACAATTACAACATTTAAAAGGCATCTGGATGGGTATATGAGTAGGAAGTGTTTAGACGGATATGGGCCAAAAGCTGCCAAATGGGACTAGATTTATATAGGATATCTGGTCGGCATGGATGAATTGGACCAAAGGGTCTGTTTCCATGTTGCATATCTCTAAGAATCTATCTACCTCTGCTCTAAAAATATTTAAAGATTCTGCATCCGTTGCCTTTTGAGAAAGGGAATTCCAAACACTTCCAATCCTGAGAGAGAAATAAATGTTACCTCATCTCTGTTTTAGATGGGCGACCCCTTGTTTTTAAATGATGATCTCTAATTCTAGATTTTCCACAAGAATCCTTTAAAATCCTTTTAACATCCACTTGGTCAACTCCTCTCAGGGTCTTACATTTTTCAATCAAGTCATCTTTGACTCTTCTACACTCCAGATGATACAGGCCTAGCTTGTCTAGCCTTTCCACTCATTCCAGGTAAAGGTTTTGATAAAGTGTCACATAAAAAACAATGCAAGATTAAGAGCTTAGAAGAATGAGGGGCGATCTTACTAAAAAGTACAAGATTCAGAGGAGTTTGACAAGGTAGATGGTGAGAGGATGTTTCTCCTTGTGGGAGAATCTGGAACTAGGGGTTTCACAATAAGGGCTGTCCCATTTCAGACATACATGAGAAGGAATTTCTTCGCTATGACGGTCACTAATGTTTTGAATTTTCAACACTGGAGAGCAGTGGAGATTAGACTATTGACAGTACTCAAGGCTGAGTTAAAGAAATATTTGTTCTACAAGGGTTATGGGGTAGGCTACAGACATAAAAACCGTGATCTTCTTGAATGGCAGAGCAGACACTTGGAGCCAAATGGTTTACCTCTGCTTCAATTTCTTATGTTTTTATGAAAGATAGGAGAGGCCCTGATGCAAAACCTTTGCTAGAAATACATCTTTCAATCAATTGTTTCTGTTGTACGTTTTGCTTTTAGAGCAACTCTTAAGTGAGAAAGTATGCAATATTTGCATGCCTTGCTTAAATGTAGTTAAAAAGAAAAAAATGTTTGTTTGGTTTTGTGAGTGTTTTATAGTTTGGAGCTGTGAGCTACAGGCCACCTAGGAGTAGACAATGGACTTGAAATTTTCCTTGATGGCTCTGCTAGTAGCTTATCAATAAGTGACTCTATCAGTAAATGACTGAGTCATACAAACCAGAACAGACTCTGTTCTCCCTGTGACTTGTGTTCATCGTCGGAAATCACACAACACCAGGTTATAGTCCAACAGGTTTATTTGAAAACAAAGGCTTTTTGAGCCTCGCTCCTTCTTCAGGTGTTCATGGAATCATAGGATGGTGGCAGCACAGAAAGAGGTCACTTAGTTCATTGTGTCTGTGTTGGCTGCCCACAAGAGCAACTCACCAAGTTCTACTCACCTGACATTTCTCCATAACTCTCCATTTTTCCCCCTCTTGTGAAAATTGTCCAGTTCTATTTTGAGAGCCACGATTGAACCTGCCTCCACCATACATTCAGGCAGTCAATTTCCAGATCCTAGTCATTCATTGTGTGAAAAGGTTTTTCCCCAATGACCTCTGGTTCAAATGGAAACAGTTTCTCCTATTTGTTCTGTCCAGACTGCTCAGGATTTTGAATACCTCTGATCAGGTCTTAATCTTTGTACCAAGAAAACTGCCCAGCTTCTCTAATATATCCATGTAAATGAAATTTCTTATCCCTGGAATTCTTCTCATGAATATTTTCTGCACTCACTCCAATGCCTCCTGATGCTTCCTGAAGTGTGCCCAAAATTGGACGCAATACTCCAGTTGATACCAAAACATTGTTTGAAAGTATTCTCGACCAGAACATCAATTCCCCTGTGTATCGTGAAGGCTGCCTTGGAGGACACTTACCTAAAAATTGGAAGCTGAATGTCCTTGACCGCCGAAGTCTTTGCAGTCTGGGACGGAACATTCCTGTCTGGCGATTGTTCTGCGGTATCCATTCATCTGTTGCCATCGCGTCTGCATGGTCTTGCCAATATACCGTGCCTCAGGGCATCCTTGCCTGCAGTGTATGATGCAGACAACGTTGGCCGAGACCCATGAGTATCTGCCATGTACGTGGTGGGCGTATGTTCCCGTATGTGATGGTAGTGTCCATGTTGATAATCTGGCGTGTCTTGCAGAGATTGCTCTGGCAGGGTTGTCTGGTGTTGTGGTCAATGTTGTCCTGAAGGCTGGGTACTTTGCTGTAAATGATGGTCTGTTTAAGGTTTGGCAGTTGTTTGAAGGCAAGAAGTGGAGCTGTAAGATGGATGTTTGCTGTCATCAACAATGGATGAATGAACACCGTGCAACAATCGCCAAACAGGAATGTTCCTTCTCAGTCGAGGAACACTTAAGCAGTCAAGACACTTAAGACATTCAGCCTCCGATCTTCGGGAAAGCGTCCTCCAAGGTGGCCTTCAAGATTCACAACAACCCAGAATCGCCGAGCAGAGACTGGTTGCCAAGTTTCGTACCCACAAAGACGGCCTCAACCGTGATCTTGGGTTCATGTCGCACTACATGTAACCCCACCATACTGTTTTGTATTTGTAAAATCTTTGTTACTGACCTGTTTTGACATCATCACCTCGAAAACTTGTTATGATCTCTCTACCTTAATTAGTTTTGTGCAGTTCTGGGTTACTTGTTACCTTGGTTAGACCCTCGGCATGCAACTCTTATACCTATCATGTTATTCCAGCCATTGGTTTGTCTTCAGCACCATCTTATTTTTAACTTTTTGTAATTATCTCTCTGCCTCAATTAATCAGATCATTGGTCATTCCTTCATTTGCTATTCAGCTGTTGACACTTTACTCACACTGTCTGACACTTTTGATCACCTGCAGATACTTGTTATTTCGCCTGTTCGGCACTCCACTGACACTATTTGTACAATCTTTTGATGTCTCTGCCTATAAATTCCTGTGCTTCTCTTCACTTCATGTGATGAAGGAACAGTGCTCTAAAAGTTTGTGATTTCAAATAAACTGTTGGACTATAACCTGGTATCATGTGACTTCTGATCTCGAATCTTCGTGGCTCTTTGACATGGACATTATTTCAACAAGTACTATACTGGTTACGTGACAATGGATAGCATTGTGTTGGGCTGAATGCAAGCTGAATCCTTCTCCTGCCAGCCCTGCATCACCCTACTTAAGGCATCATTGCATATAAAGGAGTATTAAACTTATAGTTCAGGTTTCCCTTTGTAACCTAGGTGGTCTTGAAATAGCTGTGTGCACTGTGGCCAGCAAGTGCCTCCTTTTAATTGTGCTTCATAGAGATGCCTACCTGCAAACTGCAATGAAAGGTGACATAATTGGCATTGCTTGTGACCAGCATTTGCACCCCACATGCATGTCTTTTTTATTATTCATTCGTGGTACCTGGGCATCATTAGTTGGCTAAGATTTATTGCCCATACCTATGATATGATTGTGAATGTTCACACTGCAGCAATTGACCTGAAAGACCTGTGTGTGCACAGATGTAGAGCACACATTTTTGGCTGACATTTCAGATGTGGTTCCAGTTATTTTCCATTCGCTGGTCACTTTTAGGAACCAGGAGACCTTGGAGGCAGTGAGAGGTCACACTGGACACTGTGAGTAGCTGGCTTGGCCTGGATGTCACCCTCTCCCTTCCCCCAAGCCCCAAGTCCCTTTCTACCAGCAATCCCTGGCCAGTCCAACTTGACCGAAGTGCCACATGTTCCCCCCACCCCCACTATAACAAATCAAGACTCCAATATTACCCCCGGATCCATGACCCCAATTTGGGATGTCCACCATCAAGCTGCACAGTCCCCTCCTTGAGGCCATGGTGGTAGTGTCCACCCCACTCCCATAGCCACCAATGTCCTCTCATGGACTACTGCTCACTCCCTTTCTATATCATTTTTCTTACCATCACTGTCATTGTGTCCTCGGCATCCAACAATCCCCTGCGTCTCCTCTGCTGCCTACAATCCCCAGCATTGATTCCCTCCATCTCCCAACCCCTAGAGAGCTCTCTTCTGTCTCGCACCACCATTCCATGCGTGCTCGTTCCACTGATGCCAAGGACTGACTGTCCACTGACAGTCCACTCCCTGGACTGCAGTGATACGGACCCCTGATCCTGACCATCCCAAATGGATAACTGACTGTGCACAAGCTACTGAACTGTAATGGCCCATTACTGATGATACCGGGGCCACAGACTGTCAGCAACCCCCTTGACTCGACTGAAGACTGGACTCCTTATACTTTGAGACATGGCCATTTGACTGAAGCACATGTAGTGTATGTGCTGCATAGGCACTAGGCATGTGCTGTAGGTCTGAGATTCACATATCACTGTGCCATATAGTAACATGTCCACATTAGTGACAGCTGACAACCCAGCTGGCTTTGTCTCTGCTCTGACTAGCTAGGCAAGACAGAGTACTGTGAGCCTTGTCCAGTCTATGAGATGGGTGCCTGTCCCTGCACACAAACTGTCCTTCCAGTTGCATTGCAATGAGAGGTGTCAGTGTACTCCAAAGTGCAGGAGTGTACTGTGAGTGGACCAGAATGTCCCACGATAGTGCAAAGAGGCTGGCATATGTCAGATGTCTGTATGTGTGGATGAGTGTCTGGGTGGCCAATGCCCATGCACCATGTCCTGTGGCGTTCAAACCAGTTGTCCAAGATGGAGGTCTAGAGGAGCATTGGTGAGCTGGAGTCACCAGCCACCCGCTTCAACTTTCATGTCAGGAACTCTCAGTATCTAGCTTCTATCCAATGCATGGCAGAATAGGAATCTGCATGTTAATGAGGTGAGATTAGATAATAATGGTGATAATGATCAATAATCCCCATTAATAGGCCTCTCATCACTCATGAGCAAGAATTTGGACCCTATGTGCAGAGCTCAGTTAGAAAACTGTTACTCCAGACATCGAGAAAGGCCTCACCCAACTTCTCCCATGATTCTTCTGAATTCCTCGCCTGAGCCCAGGTCGTTCCGGATCTGGGGAAATTCTGCGCTAAAAGTTTCTAGTTTTTAATTCTGAGGTCACCTATTATCTTTTTGTAATGTTCTGAAACATTATCTCATGGGTGTACATTAATGTCTTGATCTACTTGATGATGCAGTGCATGAGATGACAGTGTGTCTTTCATGGAAGTCTACAGATTATGTCAGGTGGCTAAAGTTAATCAGTTGAATCCCACCTTAAGTGTCCTGTACTACTAGAGCACTCTACTGTAGTGTAAGCTTGTACAAATGCTAACAATATGTTTCTCTGTTTTTTTTTCCCCTTCTTCAGCAACCACAAATTGGTGGTGAAGGTATGGCAAAACCATCTTCCCTGTAACATCACACACCTGCCGCTCAGTTGTCCTTGTGTTTGCTCTGTCAATCCAACTGGATAACCAAGAAGAGAATAATATTCCCAATGCAATAACTGTGACTGATTTTTTAAGATTATAATTTCCTTTCTTCAACAATCATCACATTACTAGATTGGTTATTTTTCTTCCTCTGTCACTTTTGTTTTAAACAGTGAGAGGGATGTGAGGTACCATTGCTGATGTAGTGAGATAATCTTGCCAGAACTCAAAGAGGAAACGGTATGGTGTCCTCTCTTGATCGACTGAATTCACCTCAACAATGTTTGAATTCAGAAGTAGGAATGTCCCAATACAGTTATATAGAGAATGCACCTGGAGTGCTTTGTGCAATTTTGGTTTCCCTACCTGAGACAGGATATACTTGTCATAGAGGGAATACAGCAGGGATTCACTAAGCTAATACTGAGAATGGCAGGATTGTCATATGAGGACAAATTGGTTTGATTGGGCCAGTACTCACTAGAGTTCAGAACAGTGAGAAGGGATCTGATTGAAATATATACAAAACTAAGAGGGCTAGACAGACTAGATGCAGAGAGAATGCTTGCCCTGGTTGGGGTGTCTGGGACCAAGGGTCACAGGTTCGGGATATGGAGAAATTATTTAGGATTGTTTAGGGCTGAGATGAGGAAACATTTCTGCAATCAGGGGCGGTCAACCTGTGGAATTCACTACCACAGAAGGCTATCGAATTCAGGTTGCTGGGTACATTTAAGAAAGAGATTGATCAATTTTTAGATGGTAAACATATCAAGGAGTGTGGAGAGAAAGTGGCAATATGGAGTTTGGATAGAAGATCAGCTGTAATCATATTAAATGTTGGAGCAGGCTCGAAGGTTGAATGGTCTACTCCTGCTCTTAGTTTCTCAGAGTTTCTTTTGGCTGTAAATTGATGATCTGTTTTTGATGACAATAAATTCATCCCCTATTTCTCTCTGATCAATTTTGTTCTCACTGTCCCCAGTGGCCCCTCATCAGGATGCTTCATTTCTATATACAGAACCTCTCGGACGTGTTATAGGGTTTTGGATTGCACTGGAGGATGCAACTGAGGAGAATAGCTGTCTTTGGTTCATTCCTGGTTCCCACACAGGTAGGAATCTCAGTGACTTGACATCTCTCATATACTTTAGCGATACCTGGATGCTATTTTAAACCACCTTTGTACCTTGACATTATCTGTTAGTTATGAAATGCAATCTCATCCGTGCTGCTGGTAAAATTTTCGTTTTGAATTTGTTCAAGGGATTTGGGCATCACTGGCTGGGCCAGCATTTATTACCTATCTCTGGTTGCATTTTGAGAAGGTGGTAGTGAGCTATCTTCTTGAACTGCTGCAAACCATGTGGTGTGGTATACCCACAGTACTGTTACAAAGAGAGTTCCAAGGTTTTGACTGAGCAACCAGTGAAAGGATAGAGATATATTTCCAATCTGGGATGGTGTGTGACTTGAAGGGGAACTTATAGGTCGTGGTCCCATGCATCTGTTATTCTTGCCCTTCCTGGTGGTGGAGTATATGGGATTGGAAGATGCTGTTGAAGGAATCTTGTTGTTTTGCTGCAGTGCATTTGGTAGATGATACACACTGCTGCTGCTGTGCATTAGCAGTGGAGGGAGTGAATATTTAAGGTGATGTATGGGGTGCCGATCAAGCATGCTGCTTTGTCCTGGACAGAAGTCATTCTATGGGCAGAGTGATGAGAAAGGGAAGATAGGAACCTCAAGTCATTCTTTGTGTTTTTCTCGACACAAGCCTTCCTCAGCTGGGATATAGAAAGTAGATAAAAAAAAAGGTGTAACAGTAAAATTCACATACACAAAAAAATTACTGTTTGAAATATCACAGTATGCTTCATACCCAATATACAATACTTTGTTTCTTTCTGACTTGACAGCTGGTATTACCCGGAGGATGTTACGTGCCCCTAAAGGAGAATATCCTTTGCTCAAATTTGTTGGAAAGCAACCTGATTATCGAGATGATCAATTTATCCCTGTTCCTGTTAAAAAAGGTAGATGCAAATTTGAGATTGTAATGAAGATTGATTGTAATGCTTCGTATTGTATAGTAACTCCCTATTAGGTGGGGAGCAGGACAGAGTTACTGATGCAAACTCTACCATGTAATATCAGGGAACATTACAAGCAATGCATTTGAGTGCCTCTGATGCCAAAAATACTTGTGATCATCTGCATAACTGTGGGGATAAATTACTTCAATAGATTTGCTTCTCTAAATCTTGATATTATTTAGTCAATGAGCGATGGAACTCTGTGTTGATTTTCACAGGAAAACAGAAGAAATTATAGCAGATAATCTTCAAAATACTGGTTAGAAATTCTGTGCAATGACATGAAATTGACTTTAGCTCAGTTGTAAAGCAATGCTCCATCCTATGGTAGGAAATGTTCTGGCATCCCTGATTTCTTGCACAGTGGTTGTGCATACATAGGGATGAGAGGGGAAGCAGCAAGGCTTGACCAACCTGGAAGGAAGCAAAGATGAATTGACACCTGACTCCAGGACACCACCTGAGAGTTGGTGGAATGCATTTTCAGTGTAGATCTCGAAGCAGGCCTGGTGAGCACTTCTGAGCTGGTGTTTGCAAGTAAAGCAAGTGCATTATTAATAACACCGAGTTACTGACTCCAACAGTGGCTGAACCTTCCAATCGGCCTGATGGGAGTGTTGAATTGTGCCCCTTTACTTGACGTTCAGTAGTTTACAAACTAAAATTACCTGGTATTTTCGCAATGTGTGAGCATTGCTGGTGCTTTGAATTTCTCAATTATAGCTGAAGGAAGGTTTTCAAATAGTATCTGTGGCTTTAAATTGCAGGGTTTCTTGCCCTGATGTTGGGAATGAGATAACTACCTGTAATATAGATGCCTGGATTTCTAGCCTGTGCAGGCAGCTGAAGCCTCAGCAAGAACAAATTTGGAGCGTCTGCTGTCCGATACCACCACACCAGCAGCAGAAAATCCTTATGGGTCTCGGTGTTACTGGGACTGTTTTTTATTTAATAGTAACCATGCTGCAATATAAATATATAAAGGCATGTATGTAAAATGTTTTTAACCTGAATGTTAATATGAATAAAATACTGTCTAAACTATCTGATGCTGGATGTTTTGCTGTATGCAGGTGGTCTTATCCTTATTCATGGAGAAGTTGTGCACAAAAGTGCTCGAAACACATCAAATAAATCACGGCATGTTTATACCTTCCACCTGATGGAATCCCAGGATAGTCAATGGAGTGAGGAGAACTGGTGAGTGGAGTTTCATTTACAAGATTCCAATGTTGATTTGATTATTTTAGCTTGGATATTTTCCTGCATTTAATAAAACCCTCCTGCTGAATATTTCTTGCATTGTTAAACAATGGTGGTCTTGTCTGAACGGTGAATTCCACCACAGTCAGTCTGTTACCATCTGCTCAAAGGTCTATTCGTCAAGATGGTATTTGATCAATAGGAAGAGAGTATGCTGCAGTGAAATGTGCCATCTCCTGCCTGGGTTGAGTTAGAAGATTCTTTTAGTGAATATTAAAGGGATGCATTCTCCCTCCTGGACTTCATTTTGATGATCCTAACAAGTGGTGAAGAATCTGGACAATTTACTTCTTTTATTCATTTCAGTTCATCCATCCATTTCATTTCAATCCATTCATTCATTCATTCAGTCAATCTGTGCCACCATGGGAAGGAAAGCCCAGGAGCTGTTTCTGCACATCAGTACTTGAAAGAAAAGTTCAGAAAGCTATTCTTATAAAAAGAAAGTGTACCATTAGCTTAACAGAGGTGGAAATGTTATAAAAATCCTTTACAAAACACTTTGTTACAGCCAACACAGGCTCATTATACCTATGTTACCTCATTGATAATTGTCTCACTACCCCTTTCTTTCCCCACTATTGACCTGTAATTCCTTACCCCTCCAAGTATTTCAATTATCTTTTCAAAGTTAATCTGCTTTCACTCCCATTTCAAGCAGTGCAATCCAGATGACAACAACTTCAAAAAGTCTCCCCTTCGCTAAAATTGTGTTCCAATTCTGGACTGGATATTTTTGCTGATTGGCTGAAGATGTAGAGGCAAAAAGAGGAGACTTTTTGAAGTTGTTGTCACCTGGATTGCCCTGCTTGAAATGGGAGTGAAAGCAGATTAACTTTGAAAAGAGAATTGAAATACTTGGAGGGGTAAGGAGTTACAGGTCAATAGTGGGGAAAGAAAGGGGTAGTGAGACAATTATCAATGAGGTCACATAGGTATAACGAGCCTGTATTCGCCGTAACATTGTATGATTCCTTTATATGAAACAGTGTATGATTGAATAAAACTTGCTGATTGTTGTTGAGATGAATGTGCTGAATATGCTTTTTCTTAATTCCAGGTTGCAGCCAACTCCAGAACTACCATTCCCATTTTTATACTCTTAACCGCCATCATTTTAACCAGAGCCAGTGCAATACAGAAATACATTATGTGTTCAGGTGTAATGTATTCTGCTGTTAGCTGAAATGAATAATACGTTAGATTGTGAGGACAATATATTTACAAAATAAATCTCATTATGATGAACTATTTTTCAGCGGCATGCTCATGGATTTAAGTAAATTGTAACCCTCTGCAACTGTCTTTTTGCACCCTTCCTACTCTTACTGTGATTTGTATTGACCTCACATTTACCTATTCTGGAATAAATTTGCAATTCATCTATCCTATGCTTTGCTTTATTCTCTTTTAAGAATTTGAATGAATTAAAAAAAAACATTTGTTCAGATGGAAATTTGTAATATGCAACCTCTAATAAAAGGTCTTAGTGAACCAGTTCGGAAGAAGAGTTATATCAGACTCAAAACATTTTCCACAAATGCTGCTAGACCTGATGAATTTTTCCAGCACTTTCTGTTTTTATTTCAGATTTTCAGCATCCACAGTATTCTACTTTTCTCATTGGAGCTAATTCTTTCAGTATGCTGGAGTAAACTTGTGAGAAATTGAGTAAAGTTTTTCATCCTGCTTGGATGCCTGGTGATCTTGGCTCAGATACTCAAATATTCATTAGAATTAATAAGTTTTGGGTAACTTGTTTACAACTTTGGTAGTATTTAGTTGATCCCCAAGGTATGGAAATAGTAATGAAAGAGAGCTAATAAGAACGAAAGAAAGAAAACCATTAATGCAGGATGAATGATCGATAGATTCTGATTTTATTCTTGTTTGACATTTTATACTTCCAGTGAATACATTCCAAACCTTCTGTACTTCACTACAATACAGTTCAGCATAAGGATGGTGATTGGTGATCAATATATGATGAAGTGCAACATGTTCAGAAATAGACTTTTGAACTGGGCCATGCTTAAAGATGGGGTGGGAGAGAGAGAAAAAAAAAGGCTGGTGGATGAATTACACTGCAGTCTGTACTGTTAATATATATTGCATCTGCAGAGGTATTGCTCATTGGATGAGCATGCAAATGGAAGCACTGAGAAAGGGTCTGTTTGCATGCTGTATGACTCTATCAGAGTTCAGTAGGCTTTGCTTAACCACTTTATTTGATGTGTGCCCTACAGTAGTTCAAACCTGAATGAAGGGGCTAAAATTATAAATTCTTTAAACTAGGAAGTTTAGGTGTCTGTCTGCATGGGTATTTCTGAAAATTTCTCATAGGATGTAGAAGTCACTGGCTAGACAAGCATTTATTGTCCATCTCTAACTGCCTTCAGAAGATTGAGTAAGTCTGATTTTGATTTTTTCCTGCTGCACTTCTGTTTCCTTTCCTGTTTTCCCACTTCTCCCCTTTTCATTCCAATAGTTCCTTAGAGATGATTTCAGAATCTTGATTCCTCTGTGGAATACAATAACAGTGATCAGCCTCTGATAGCTGATTGTTACTGATTGTGAAAATGCAGATACATAGCATAGGGATCTCTTCTCATCACTGAAATAGATGGAATGGGGGGTACAAGCAAGAGACAGAGTGTAGGAGATGGTGTAGAAGGAAGCAAAGGTGATATTAAAATCGGCTAGAAGAGAGAAAAAGCTATAAAAACAATTACTCACGATTCATTACAACTAGTATCTGAAGACAACAGCCATGTTAAAACAGATCCACTATCTGTGCAACATTGTAAAAAAAATCCTAATTTAGCTGTCAGGCACCATGCAAGTTACGTGAAGGTTCTTTTACGTATCAGAAGTTAACAAAGCATTTATTAAGTAATTGCAGCACATGGAATTTAACTATAGATTCATTTTTACATGGTTTATTAGTGTTTTCTAGCCTCACAGAATCTTCTGTTTGTAAATCTTTTGCCATTATAAACAGTTATGCATGCATCTTATCAAAGATTTACGATCAAGAAATTTAATTTTAGTAAATTTCTTAAAGTCAACAGTGCAGATCACAATTTAAGTCAAAGAAAAAGCAACCATCTTTTGGGAAATATTTAACTTGTGTTCAGTGTACAACAATGCTTGAATTTATCTGTCCTCCAGCAAACTTAAGTAAGAAGAGACAATATCCATTTTGTTGTATTCAATGATGTGTGCTTATTTTTCTTGGAATGAAATACAAGTTTGGGCGACTAACCATAGGGAAAAACTTCAGTATAAAATTATTCGTTTCCTGCCATCTCCACTGCAGATATTCATTCGCTGCTCCTCTGATTCGACAACTATCCAGTGTATGGACCTGTGGTCATTCTTCATTTACAAGCCTACCTCACCAGGAATACATCGCAACCAAGTTTGAACCAACCCTATGTTGATACAAACACTCCCATCTTTCTCAACTAATGTCACTAGGTTGTAACTAGGACCAAGATACCTAGCTTATTCCATGACCTGATAAAATATTTTCTAATATAACTGTTTTAATATTCTCTATTCTTTCATGGGATATGGGTTTTGCTGGCAAGCTCAGCATTTGCCTTGCCCATCCCTAATTGCCCTTGAACTGAGTGGCTTATTTGAGAGGGCAGTTAACAGTCAATCACGTTGTTGTGGGTCTGGGATCACATCTAGGTTAGAGCAGGTAAGAATGGCAGATTTTCTTCCCTGAGGGGCACTTGTGAACCAGATGGGTTTTTACAACAAATTATTGATAGTCTCAGTGATTGTGACCATGAAACTATCTTGATATCGGATTTATTAATTAGTTTAAATTCCGTTATCGACCACAGTGGGATGAACCCATGTCCCCAGATATTAGCCTGGGCCTCTAAATTATTAGTCTAGTGACATTATGAGTAAAACCACTGATTCCCCCATTTATGCATTATTTGAAAATAAGGTGAATAGTAACCATTTAAAGAGATAGTTGATCAGACAGCCCTGGTCATTGAAACGAATGCTTTGCAATAAGCAACAATATTTCACTCCTCACAACCCCACCCCCCAAAAAAAAAGTTTATTAAAAAGTTCACCAGCCAATTATTATGAGTTAGTGATTTCTTTCATCCAGGAGATGGAATTTCTCTGGTGGGTGTTAACTACTGTCCAATTAGAAAAGATGGGATAAACTAACAACCAACCGAGTTGAAATGGTGAAATTTGGAATATGACACTCATATCACATATCAGCAAAAGACAAGCACAAATGTTTAAAAATAAGTTAGTGCAGAATGTGATGTAGTTGTGATTTTGTCCCTGAGCAACTAAAGATCGTTGTAAGCATTTTTTTGTCGTGCATGTGTCTGACACATTGGTCTTTCTCCATTCTTTTTGCAACTTGCATTAAAAACTGATATTTAAATAGTGCATTTGACATAAGAAATGTATCCAAGGTGTTTAATAAGGGCATAATAAGTTAAAAATTTACACCAAACCGAAACCAGAGCTTTTAGATTCATGGACCTGACAGGGTAGACAATGAAGTTGTTTCTCCTGGTTGAGAAATCAAGAACATGGGCACAATCTCAGGTTACGGTGCGGTTGTTTGGGACTGTGATGGGGAGAAATGTATTCACTCAAAGGGTAAAGGTTATGAATGCTCCCTCATTATTTACTTAAAGCTGAGATAGACAGGGAGCATGCAGAAAAATGGCATCGAGTCAGATGATCAGGTGTGATTTTATTGAAGGGCAGGGCAGGTTGAATTACTCTATGACTTAATTCTCTTTCTATTTTTTCTGTAAGATTATGTACTAATCACTGCTGAATGACTGGCAACTGACTTCCAGGTCTCTGTTATTTTCTGGATCAGTACCTGTAAGGTGGACAGAATGACCTCTATTGCCAAATCTTTACCCACCTAACCTTCTCTCTGCTCACACTGAGAAAGATCCTTCACTCCGTTCAGTGCTTCTTTCCCCAATGACAGATCACAATTTCCTTAAATTAATGAAGTATAAGAGGTTAGATATTATTTTGTGAATGTTCTGCATTGCTTCATGTTACTCTAGTAACAAACATACCTCTTTGTACTGTTCCTAGTTGACCTGGTTTCATTAAGAACTAATGTTCACTCCATTTACCGATATGTACACTGTATAGGTGTTAGCCATGATCTTACACTGAATAAAATCTTAAGGTCCATCAGGCATAAGTCACATAATTAAGTTTGAGATGGTTGAGGTGTGATCTATACATCTCAATCACTAATTATCAGCAACGAATCCTAAACACACTATTATCACAAGATTTGCTGGTTGAGAGGACAGATAAAGATGTTTTTTCTCGATCTCCAGCATTTTTTGTTTTCAGTTTTATAATTTGTTCCTCTCTTCTCCATTTGGTAATGCCAGGTTGGGTCAATGAAAGAACATTTTATATTGAGATTATGTCATCCTGGCCGAAAATCCACAAGGACCTTTCATCATCAGGATTTTCTGGATAGTGATCAGGAATGGTAATGAAATACTGGAGATGTTGGAAATCTGGAACAGACACACAACATTTTGGAAGGACTCAGTTAGCCAGACAGAATTTTATCAAAGGTCAAAGGTTAACCCTTCCGCTTTCACTCTCAATCAGAACACTTAAAAGATTAGACCTTAAATATTAACTTTTTCTTTTTGTTATACTTTGCAGGTCAGACATTGAGTGTTTCCAGCAATGTGGATGTTTATCTCAGAATTCAGTAGTTGCACTATTTTGAAGCGAATTGTGACTTCCAACTGTGTGAAAAAATGTATGTCAGAAATATACAGGATTGACATGATTGCATCAATGGTTGGGGTGCACAATATTTGTTTCATTTTTGCTGAACAGAGAAAATACCATTTGACAAGATTTCCCTCTTACTGATGACCTGTGTTGAGGTACATGTGAAAGACAGCAGTTGTGGCCTTTACCATTCTGATGTTTAAGGCACAGTTCTTTGCTCATTGCTATAAATAAAAGGCTACATCTGACGTTTCAAGGTCTTCCTTCTTTATAGATTCTGGATGCTCTGGCTGATTTATTTTAATTAATTTCCCTAGCCAGGATGAGCTGGTTAAATCAATCTAGACGAGAGAACAAATAAGGGACGTTCCTGGAGTGTATGGCTTAATTTCACTTCGGAGAATGAATTTACTGATGGGAAAAGCCTGAACACATTCTTTTGTATTACAGTTATCATTACTTTAAAGTAATAATTTATCAGTTAGATATTAATTTGTTTGGAATCACCTCCAAATATAATGATTTCCTTTTTTTTGGGTAGTATCTGCCCTTGTACCAGCAAAAACAGATAATTTGCTGCAATGTCAGTGTACATCCAACTCTCTCATTCAAACCATTAGCATAAGGAAAAGATACAAGGGCAGTAAAAGATTGTCTATTTGATCAGTGTAAGCTTCTAGTAGGGAGACTATACCAAGAGACCCCACAATCCAGGTGTAGCTGCCATTCAGACTCACTGTTTTATCAAAAATCAGAATCAAAGCAACAGCAATGATTTGGGCAAAGACAGAGGTTGCTGTTCCTTCAAAGGTTTTCCTTGTTGCAGGCCACCTAACTTCTCCCATTGTGCTTCCAATAGCAGAAGCCAAGGCGTCGCCAATGCCCACAGCCAGAACCCCAGCGTATGGAGCCAGTGCTACCTCTCCTGGAAAAGAACTCTGTGGAGCAAACATACCAGGGAAAAGCCATACAGGCAGGGTCAGTCCTAGCAGCAGGTAAATGTGCGTCAGGATCAAAGGACCACTATCACGGTCATCAAGGAACAGGGCTAGCATTGGTCTCAACATCATTCCGAGTGGTTTAATCCTAAAATGCCTTATATATTCCAACATCACAAATGCAGCAAAGCAAACCACAGCAGCAGCATAGAGTAGTGGACGATCATAGATGAGACCCGGGACATAGGTTGCCACTATGATGAAATGAAAGCTTTTCCGCATAGTAGTTGAAGCTTTGTACTCTTTAGACCCAGATGATTGCATACTGTTCTGGTGAAAGACAATGATAGAAGCAAGAAATGCCAATGTGACCCAGTAGCTCAGTAGGTAGATCCTGGTTCTGGTGGATGTAAGGAAGTTGAGAAGCCAAGAAAAAAGATGGTTTCTGGTCAGCCGGTAGAACCAGGGCACCATGATTCCCATTCCAAAAGCCACAGCGGTCACATGGAAAATCAGCGATGAAACCCAGGTTTTAGAGTCCATAAAACAGTATAAGAGAGTAAAAACAAATCCCAGAAGGGCGATTCCAACCACAGTCACCAAGAGGAATGATGCGAGTGGATCACATCTACCGTCTCCGAAAGTTAAAGACCGTTTGATGAGCTGGTTGGTGACTATACTCAAACCTGACAGAAACAGCATAACTTCTCCTGGGGTGAAGCTCCGTGGCATAATATAAAGGACAATGAGAGAAAGATAGACAAAAATTAATAATATCTCCAGGATTTCAATGACCTCAGACACTGAAAGAGCATGCTTAAGGGCATATATTATGGCACTGGTTGCAAAACCATACAGAATGCTGGTATTCGTGGGCCGAGGCTTTGTGAGGCCCAAACCCAGTAATGAGATGAACAGAGCAATGGCCATTCCTGCAGCTGAACACACGATGCAGAACCGCTCGAACTGTACATTTCCAACAGTTTCCCACTGCTCCTTTAACACAATTCCTAGCAGAGGCAATACCACGCTGGCTGGTAGCAGGCCACTACTAAAGGCCGACCTATATTGAAAAACAGCATTTCCGGACTTTAGTAACCTGTCCCACTTATGCTGAACATAATAAGCCTGAATCGCCAAGGCAAGTGTGCACCAGGTAAAGATGTTCCAGATCACAGCGTGGACAGACAACACGATGACGAAAACAATGAATGACTCCACAAAGACAGGATTTTTCAACATTGCTGCAAGACTTTTCTTATGGTGTACACCGTACTGAGGAAAGTTTTAATTATTGTAGAATCCTGAAAAGCGTTTGGGGTTCCATTTCATCTGGCAGAAATTATGTTGTTGAATGTTCCCTTTCATTGAATTTTCTTCCAACTTTTGCAAATGGGTAGATCTAACTGACTG